TCTACACTTAATTAGACAAGTGGGACAAGGATCATGACGTAAGACAGTCATCTACAAAAATGTATTCAGATTGCTAGCTAAAACTCATTCAAGAAAAATGTATGCTAACAAGAAATAACAGATGCTAATCGGTTCAGGACCTATAACATTTGCGACAAAATAAATCTTAGTAACTTTATCCACCAGGAGCATCCCAAGTATTTGACTGGTAAAAAGATCATTTCCTGTTACCTCAACAATTTGTGTTAACTGAATGGGTCATATATTAGCTGATAAGAATAGAAGAAACTTTTGAAAGTAAAGGAATGGACCAGAGGTGGTATTCAGCAGGTTCTGACCAGTTCTGGAAAACCAGTAGTGGAAATTTTGAGTAGTTCAGAGAACCAGCAAATCCTGACTGGAGATTTTACAGTATCCTTCCCCTGCCACACCCACCAAGCCACACCCACAGAACCGGTAGTAAAAAAAAATTGAATCCCGCCACTGGAATAGACATAATTTAGGTGCTGGCTGATTCCAAACTGATACATCTGCTGACTTTTAGAATTAATTTGAATATTAACCATGGTTGAAATCTTGCTGAGATAGATTAACCCTCTCTGAAAGAAAGACACAATCATAACTGTGCTCTTTTCTTTTTCTTCTTATCATCTATATCTTGGTCTTCACCCATTTTGTTGTTCCTGCTGCAAAGAGGAAACAGGAATGTGTATGTTTGTATACTCATGTGTTTCCATGTGAGTATGTAGTGTGGAAATAAGACCTCAAGATTATTCAATGATGTAATCATATTTGACTTATATAAGTATAGTATTACACATGTTTATTTCTACTTTCTTTATTGTGTAGCTCTAGCAGCATACTTAGGAATGGAATTCTTGTACCAGCCTGTGCCTGATAGTGACTAATTGGTTGAAGAGTTCATGGCTTGAGAGGAGGAGGGATGATTCGAAGTTACATTCTACCATGCTACTTTATCTCTCTCTCTTCTTCCATGGTCAGCTTGTGGAGCAGCAGTTACCCCAAGCCTACTGTGCTTCCTTTCCAGTAATGATTTCACAGTATGAAGGGAAATCTCCATCTTCCTTTTGGATGATCTTGCTTCTTTGACAATTTTGTCTGTATTTGGTATTTTTTGCTAATGGACATGCATGTTCAAGCTGTTTATGATGAACATCCTATATGGGAACTAGGTGACCTTGGAGCTCTTGCTCTGACTTGTCTGAATGCAAGTACCAAGTGAATCACTATAATGTGCTATGAAATGATCATTTGGATCTTCTCCAGATTTTTTTTTTGGGGGGGGGGGGATTTTTCCATCCAGTGTGTCACATAGCTTATCTAAATGAGAACAATGATTTGTATATTGGGGTAGGAATGACCAGCACAGTAAATGAAGAATATTAATTTTATAAATTCTGTATATTGTTTTACAAGGAATTAATTTTTTTTTAAACAAGTTTTATTAATTTTTAAAACACACAAATTATCATTATTCATTACATGTTTAAACCTTTTTTCATTGTAAATTTAACAAGTCAGATAAATTATGATTCTGTTTTAAACCATTTCCATATAACATACCAAAACCTCTTATTCAATTTCTCTTTACTTCTCTTTACTCTTATTCAATATCATTATTATTATTTCATCTATTTCTTTCTGACTTAGTTACCATTATTCTCATTCTATATTTCTATAAGTTTTTACTAATTCTCCCCCCCAAAAAAACATATACACACAACACACAAAACATAAAAAAAATCTTTTTGGAAAGTAACTTGGACCCAGGTGTCTCTCTCTTCATGGACTTCAATTATATTCATGCTCATCTTACATATCATTACTTATTTTATTTACCATTCTAAGTCTTCTATATTAACTTCTCCACATATTTCACCCTTCTTAATTCTATCTTAATTAATCATCTTAGTTTGAATCATTATATTTGTATCTTTTGTCCATTTTTTATCATCCCTTTGTCTCATTCCTTATAAAAAGGAAGAAAATAAGTTTCTCCTGAAATCATTAATCAGAGTATGATGCCTTTCTATCCCCCCCCCCTAAGTTAGTCAAATTAATCTTTAAAATAATATCCAATACCCAATCCGATTTTGCTTGGTACATTCTATCTAACTAATACATCCAAAATAATTAAATACATAATTAGACAATAAATCCAAATATTAAAAAAAGATACTATAATAAAAATTGTATAATAACATCAATACCATAATCTTATTAAACTCTTTAATTAAAACAGTATTCTAAACCTCCCCTATTATTAAATTTTAAAGCCAATCATTTTTAAACATTTTAACATTTTAATCTCTTATCAACTCTTAAACCATTACAATACTACCATCTCATCTTATGTACCTTGCAAAATCTTTTTTTTTTAAAAAATTATACTTTATCCATTATCCATAAAAAAATTTTTTCCATTTAATTTCAAAACATTGTAGCTTTTCTCCACCTTTTCCCTTTCTTTCTTCTCCCAACAAACCTTTCTACCCCCCCTTCTTCTAACCTCTGCCTTACCGGCTTCCCTTCTCTGTCATATTCCTTTTCCCTTTTGTTTACTATCATCATATTGGTTTTGCACCTTATTTTTCCCTTTCTTAAATGTTTTTTTAAATCTTAAGTCCTTTAATTTTCTTCTTTTCTCTCTTCCTTCTTTCTTGATCAAATTCTGAGATTCATTAAAAATGGCTCCTTCCTTTCTTTCTTGTTCCTCTGCTGTCTTCATCTGTTGTAATGTTTGTTGATAGTTAGTAAGCGCCATTTCTAAAAAAAGGAAAGCTTCTTCCACACCATCTTTACCATTTTTTTTTGCTTGTTCATATTCTTTTCTTAGTTCCTCAACAGAAAGAGCCATTATAAATCTTTTCTTTTCTTTTCCCTTTCTTTCTTCTTACAACAACCAGAATATTCAAAAGAAAATAAAAAAAATAAAACAGTCCCAAAGTTATCAGTCAGTCCAAACCAAGGCAGAGTTCTCACTTTCTCCTTCTGGGGTAATATCAATCAAAGAGAAAGAAAGTCCAAATCTGTTTAAAATCTTATTGCAATATCTTCTAGTCTTCAAATCCTTAAGGCATCTGCTCCAACAAAGTCTTAGCATACAAATATTTTCTTTTTAATCCTCTCTCTTCCCACTCATCGCTTAAAACCAATTTTCACCTAAAAAAAATAGGTTTCTTAATATCCAGTTATTTATTCCGTAGGAAAAGAGGGAAAGCTATCCTTTCAGCACCATCCAACAGCCGCTTTTTTCCTCTTCTGGCAGGTATTATTCAGAAAGTCATACTTTTCAGGAATTTTGTTAAATATGTCTTAGAGTCCTAGGAGCCAAGAAAAACTTTCTCCTCTCAAGCACTTTCTCCACTTCCTCCTGCGCATTCTTACCTGGCTGCCAGCTTCTTTGTGGCGGCCATTACGGACCGCCGCTGCACCGTCCTGGGAAAAGGGGGTTCTACCGGCCGGGGAGGGGGTCTGCAACACCCCCAAACCCCTCTCCGGATCCCCCCTACCTTCAGCTGCCCCTGCAGGGCAGCCTAGCTCCGTACCCATCTGGGTCGGAGCCCCAGAAGCGGCTAGCGCGGCAGGGATCGCGCAGCTTCGCAAATCCCTGCCGCTCGCGAAGCCGACAAACTGGAAGTCCCCTACAAGGAATTAATTTGAATTGGCAGTTATTTGATCTTTTGTCTTGAACCGTTTTCTTTATAGTGCAGCTTCTGGCAGAGGGTTTGTGTGTGTGTGTGTCAGAGAGGCAGAGACTGACAGAGAGATAAATTTACATTTTTATTCAGGAGGAGGAAATATCCTGGATTGGTCAACCCTCTGTTGGCTGGATGAAAGATCTGGAGATTGTGCAGGACTTTTTATTTGTGTTTATATTGCGTGGAGTTACGTGTTTTTTTTTCTTTTTGGTTTGTTCTTCCTTTTTGTGAAAATTAGCTTACAGTAAATTCAGGCTCAGCTTCCTTTGGGACACATACTGCAAGTTACAATGAGTTTCTGAACTTCCCTGGTTCTAATACGAAGCCCTCCAGATCTACTGGATTTTTTAAAAAAGCAATTCTATCAATAAATTTGGAGAGCACCAGTTGGAGAAGGATGACTTATGTTCGCTCACGTAACAAAGATAACGTGGTCCAATAACTGCTTAAAAACTATCAACTAACCAAAAGGGTTATATTCTGCTACATTCAATAATAAACAATAAATAGTTCCCATTTCAGCACTTTATGTTACAGGAAAGAAGAAAGCAAAGTCCTTTTCGCTTAAGTTTTTCCCAAACCACTGACCCATTTCTAAAACCGTGTTTCTCAAGCTGTGATATATGTACCAAGTATACAGACGTAGACAAAGTGGGCTTGGCTTTTCTCCTCAAATCAGGCAGAAAATCCACAATAGAAAGAGAGAGGAACAAGAGGAAGTGCAGAGCCACCAGTTTCCCACCAAAGGTGCTTTGCCAGGGGGACTAATTATCTGGGGGGGGGGGAGGGGGGGAAGAAGTTTCTCAAAGCCAAAATAAAATACCTAACATAGCATTTTCCAATAGTCAATTCTTTCTATCGTTATTTGAATGCAGTTCTTGGTTTGGATATATGCAAAACTATTCTCAAAGTGGCAAATAACACTTGAGCTCTAATTATCTTTAATTCAAAATAGTGTCTTCAACATTACTACACTTTTTATTACTTTAAACATATTGTAACTAACAAATACTATAACAAAATGTCTGAAAAGATATATATGCACCCTTCTAAAGAAAAAAATGCCCTTTGTTTCTTTCTTGGGGAAATGACTTTATTTAACAAAGTGATTGGTGAGAGTTAAGATTTTTCAAGAAGTTTATTGTTTAAAATGATGTTATTGGATTTCAAAAACTGACTAGCTCTATTCCATAAAGGACAAGCATTTTGAAGTTTCTTAAAACATTTTGGCTGCTTTTGATTTTACAAATGAAAATAGCATATCTAATACAAACCCACCCAAAGCCAAGCTGCCTGCAGACTACCTCAGCATCAGCATTATCCCACTGGTCATCACAGATGGTTCCCCATTGGCCAGCATGATAGACTTCAACTCTTCCTTCATAAATGCTGCTCCCATCCACCAGTCGGATTGAAATAAAATCAGAGGCTGAAAATAAAAATATAAAGAGAAAAATCAGTTTTCATTAACAAATAATTGAACAGAATAGAAAAAAAGGTGTTATTAATTAATTAATTTATTGCTTTTCTCAATCTAATAACTATTAGATTAGGGAGCCCTAGTGGCGAGTAGTTAAAAGGAAGTATTTTAGACAAACTCTGCCTGGAGTTCAATCCTAATGGGGTCTAGGTTGACTCAGCCACCTATCCTTTCAAGGTCAGTAAAATGAAGACCCAGATTGTTGGGGGCTACACACACAGAGAGAGGGGGGAGGGGGGAGAGAGGGAGAGAGAGAGAGAGAGAGAGAGAGAGAGACTGTAATTTAAGTATTAGTAATACTGCCATGTACCAAACTATTTTCATGCAATTCCCTCTCCTCACATGCAAGCAGCTCTAATCTCTAATGGAACCCTGTTTTAATATGATGGAATTCATTGCTAGCTACATCTGAAAATAAGCAAGATTTTAAGATAGCTAATAGGCTGGAAAAAACAACTGAATAAACTTGTCTACAGGACTCTATGTATCTTTCACTCTAGCCTTCCTCAAGTGACCTTTTAATTCCACTCTATTAAAAGAGCCCTCTTAAAAAGAACAATGAAGCCTTTTTGAAATATGTTTTTCTAGTTCCATGTACAAATAAAAGGAGATTTTTATTTTTTTTAAAAAAAAGAATCTTTGTAGCATCATTTTATAAAAAGGAAAGGAATGCAAGCAAATCCATAACATTTTTAATCTCTTTGCAGCTTCTGTACAAAAATATAATTTAAGCATGAGAGTAATGAAAACTCCAACTGGATATTTTAAATATCAACAATCAACCAGCAGACAAAACATGCTTCATTTGGGAGCTAGGAAGAAGATGGTATGCACTTTTGCAAAAGGTAACAAATTACCACACCAGCAAGTATTTTTGGCCAACGCATAAATACCATGTTACATGCCTTGACTATCACTGTCAAATGATAGGCATGCCTTTTAGCAGCTGCTCAGGGAAACATGATCGCATACTTTCATCAGCTTCACAAGAATTCCACCTTCCATTGAATAATAGTGTGTAAATTCAGAATTCTGTGAGAAACTCTATTTCTTTGTAAGTTCTAGGTTTTGTTTTTATGAGATCCCATAGAATTCTGACTTGAACTTCTTTCTTTTAGATATCAAAAAAGAAAATCCAGTAGTAACCACAATTTGTTTTTCTTAGAGAAATCTATGGCTAATTAGGAGACTCATTGTGATGTATACTGAATCACTGCACCTAAACAATGTCAACTGGCGAGACATTTTTCCCCTAATATATCATGATAAAAATGTGAGGGAGAAATGCAGGCAATCAAGTATGTTGATGGACAAACAACTCTTAACAGAAAGTGGAAAGCACCAACATCTGCACAACAAAGGGGTTTTTCAGTAATAGTAACAATAAAGTGCAAATTCTCCAGATGAGAAAATATTAAAAGTGAATAGCACACAAAATATAAAGCCCATTATTTTTTAACAGAGTGGGAACTCAAGATCAAGCTGAATACTGAAATTTAAAAATTACTGGGAGAGGAAGCCTGCCTTGAATTTCAAAAATAAGACCACTCCCAAAGAAAGTTTTATTATTGCTTAACCTTTTGCATAAATCCAATGGGAAGTCTTCAAAACCAGTTTGAAGGAAAATTTCAAGTAGCAGATACTTTTTTTAAAGAAGCAAAGAAAGATATGAGGCAAGAGATGGTAATTCTCATTGCATTGCTCTTGGAATGCAATTCACAGACAAAGTAAGAATTTTGTATTACTTTCTTTTTGATCCCCAAACCACTGTTTATACCACTGTAGTATAATTGCATTTTAGCATGGAGTGCCTGCTGATGGTATCATTCAGAATTAACTTATCTTAGACGTTTTTTGGTGTGGTATTCCCCAAAATTTCATAATTATTAACCCCAACATATCTAGAGGGCACCATACTCAAGAATGACTTAATCAATGTATTATCAACAGTTTTCTTGTATGTAACTGCTGTTTGTTAAGACTAAATGATGTTTCTTTTTTCTTTTTTACCATGGGAAAAGCTGCACGTGACCGCAGCTGCCATATTCTGGGAACACATTCGACCTTGCCAAATATTTTTTTCACACAGCATGAGGTTTTCTTCATTGCCATGGCAATGCACATTGCTCCAGTGCACAGGAATAAGGCCTGATCCAGAAAATAGGGTGTGCCTTGCTGTACCTCTCTCCCTATGGAAATAACAAAAATATAGATAATGAAGAAGAAAGCCAAGATAATTACAAACTCTTTGTTAGTATTTTATTCCATGTTAAATATGACATGTTTTTCCTGATCCACAAAATATCAGAGAAACATCAAGTAACTATGGGACCAATTCAAACCAAAGGACAGGATCAAAGGGCAACTAAATTGTTTTCTGAATTTACCAAACACTAATTTCTTTAGTGAGCTCTAAAACTGCTTGGTGAAGACCACTGTCAATTCCATTGACAGCTGAGAAGATAATCAAATGTATTATTGTACAAACAAATCCAGAATTCTCTCTCAAGGTACAAATGATTAAACTCAAATTATCCTACCTTGGACACATTATGTGAAGACCTAACTCTCTGGAGCTAACACAGGGAAAGATGGGAGAACAGAGATATCGCCATCAGCATGGTGGATACCCAGTGACAATCTACAACTAATTGCTTTAGAACAGGGGTGTCAAACTTGTCACATGATTTATTGTGACTTTCCCCCCTTTTCTAAACTGGACTTGGGCATGGCCAGTGCTTGATGCATCTGGCCCATAAGCCACAAATTTGATCCCCCCACTTTAGGAGAATTATACAACAGCAGTGGACATATCCTCATAAAATACCGTACCTAAAAGCATCTGCCTATTACATCCAGCAGCTGTATATTTTTCAAAATGTACTTTTCGGTAAGCATTTATAATGCTAGGATAAGAGTATTTATTATGTTACAAATTAATTCAGCTTTTAATATTAAACAATTGACTAAAAATTTAAATTATAGAAGTATTCAAAAATGATGCTCGCTAAATATATAAATATAAAAAAATAAATTATGTGAGAAAAAATAAATTTGCTACATAATTTAGGAAGGCTTTAAAACATTTGTAAGTTAAACTAACAAGATGGTGTAACAAAACTGTTCCAGTTTAGGATGACAGTAGCTAAATTTCAGGTAACAGGAAGTGTCTTCATAGAGATTGGATTTGGGCTGAGCTTGGCAAGTATTGATCCATCCCTTTTAAACCAGAGCCCTTAAGAACTCTGAATGTATTTTGTTTAATATCCCCTGTGAATTTTTTTTTTTTTTGCTCTAATTTATAATGTACTTTGGTCTTTTCTTGTCTGCAAACACTGGACTTCTTGTTTGAAACGGCCATTCTCTATGCAAATAAAGCAAGAATTAACATTATTCTAGAGATAATCAATTTAACTCTGTAAGACACAAGCTACTACTCAAGATCATAAAGGAAAAAGTATAGAACTGTTTGGACTATTTTTTCTTATTTTATATTTGAATTAAAATGAATTAAAATGGGATTGGTATATAAACAGCCTTGTGTATTTACTAATCATATCCATGCAGAAAATGGAAAGTATGTGTGTGTATATATATATATATATATATATTGCTGTGTATCATATAGAATAATATATTTAACTACATATGTGTGGACCAAAAAGGCTATTATATTCTGTTGAAGATTAATTTGTACAGGAATCATGCTATTATATAGAAATTTGCACATGTGGGAAATTAGCCATGCATACAAGACTGCACCTTTTCCCTAATCCCTAAGATCCAGATAAGCATTTCAATATTTTTGCTTTAAACATAATCTATCTTAAAGGGAACTAAAATCAGTGCAATGTAGATATTGAAATGAAAAAGAAATGTGCCAGCATGAAGATGCAGAAAAAAGGAAGGATATTTACAAGGATCTGAAGATAATTCAAGCATTTGTTTCATCAAAATGCAAAACACAGAATTCCTGGAGCTCAGTCATTCAGTCCCAAATCATCTCAAGGCTGGACTTATTGTAATGCGCTTTATGTGGGCCTACCCTTAAAAAGCATTCTGAAGTTACAGCTGGTATTGAATGCGGCAGAGTGGGTAGTTTAGGGGCCCCTAAGAATGGCCCCTGGGACACCACTGCTCTGCAAGATGCATGGGTTACCAGTCTACTTCCAGGTGCAATTCAAGGTGCTGGTGATCAACTTAAAATCCCTTAATGGCATGGGTCCAGGTTACTTAAGGGACCGTCTCACCTCACTGGGACTGGTCTGTACCACATGTGCCAACAGAGGAGGTATGCTGCAGGTCCCGTCAGCCTGATTATCCTGACTGGCGGGCCCAGGGGGAGGGCCTTCACTGCTGTTGTTCCTGCTGTCTGAAACATCTCCCCCCCCCACTGGATATGAAGTTGGCCCCAACCCTCCTAACTTTTTGTAAGGGCCTAAAGATGAGTCCTGATGTCCTGGTGGTGAAACAGTGTGTGTGTGTGTGTGTGTGTGTGTGTGTGTGTGTGTGTGTGTGTATACGTACATACATACATACATACATACATACATACATACATACATACATACACACTGTTTCCTCACCAGGACATCAGGACCCATCTTTCCCCATATATATATATATATGAACTGGGCTCCAAAAATCTGGAATATAATTTCATAAAAACAAATAGATACATAAAATGTTAATTTTCTACTTTCATCTAGATAGATATTCCCTTGCCAAGAAGTGAAGTTTATGACACATATATAAATCTTCAGGATTAAAATGTAAGCAGTTTATCCCGCTTACTAAAGAAAAAGAAGTGAAGATTAAAAACTATAAAGCAAGCTTGCAGTCATACTCATTATCTTTAGTAGAACTCCACAGGCTAACCCTAACTAAAAAAAAGGTAACATCTGTTCAAATTAATATTCTGTTTCTGAAGAAATACTGAATTACATTTTAACCTTTCTTGGCAACAATCGTATGTAGCATATTATTTTGTTAAAAGTAATGATTATTTTTAATGAATTTAAAGTAATCAATGTAATATTAGTCATTAGCATTTTAGAAAAGAAATAATCCATTTATCTTAAATAATGATGCAAGCTATATTTCAGGCACTGTAACAGATGAGAAATTTGGAAGGTAACTGCCACTATACTTACAAATGATGTGAAAAAGAATAGTGTTATTTAGTGAACATTTATTTACTTACCCAAGTTCAAGTTGTTGACATATCACTGAAGCGTCAGCATTATCCCAGTGGTCACTGCAGATTGCTCCCCATGTTCCATTTAGATATATTTCAACTGTGCCTTCAAACTCATTTCTTCCACCTTTAAGTCTTACTGATCCTGTTTATTTTTGTCAAAAAAGGTAAATTTATTTCAGAGATTATATAATGGTAATACAGTCATTTTGAACTATGAATAAAATGATGCCACTTTTTTCCATTAAAAAGAAATAGCTTCTGTGTGGCATTTATCTTTGGAGTGATCTGAAAGAGGCATGTTGAACCAGATATACAGCCACTCCCTTGCTCTAGGGTGGTTTTTGTCACTTTTTGATACGGTCAAACTAGGTTCCCTTTCTGGTTAGTCATTAGAAATGCATGACCATCCAAAGTCATTCGGTTAAGTTCTTCAAGATTCTTCTAGTCCATTTCAAAAAAGCACCTTTATCATTTCCTTGTCAGGCCACTGGAATGATACTTAAGATATGTTTTATAATCAATCTATCTAATAGAAATATTTTAATACAACTGCAGTTAATGTGTTCACTATGGATAGATTTATTTTCTACATTTGGAGAGCAGTAACAAAATTAGTACCATATCGTTACTGTAGGCACTAGCAAAAAGATTACTATTATTATGAAACTTGCTTATTCCACAAATGAATGCAAAGATTAGTAGGTCAGTCAAATAGTACCAATTTATCAGAAAGCAAATTGATGATACTCATATTACCCATCTAGACTCAATATTCCGTCCTATTTCTTTCATTCTTTTGAGCAGATGGATATATTCCCAAACATAGCACAGATGTCATGCCCCTGGTGGAGACTGACTCTGAGGGAGAGGAGAAACAGCCAACAGGGAATGGAAGTGTGGCTCCAGAGGTGGTGGAGGAGGCTGGGGAAGGGCAGAGGCCAGCTGAGCAATCAGAGGAGGACCCAGGCCCATCCCCTATCCATCCTAGGGCTACTCGGGAGGAGAGGGACATGATCCTCTTCATGAGTTGCAGGTGTCAGATCTGCATAAGAGTTTGGACCTGCGTGCTAACAAATTCTGGAGACAAATAGTGTTTTATTCCTGGATGAAGTTTATCTTGGTTGGCATTCTTCCAATGGACTGTACCTAGTTATCTTCCTGAAGTTTGTAATTATTTATCCTGGTCTGTTGTGGAACTTTCTTCAGTGTGGTTTGTTTTTGGTTTTTGCTTTGTTATCTGCTCTTTGAATTTGAATTGTGTTTCTTTCGTTATTCTGAAAATAGTTTAATTTTCAACTGTGAACAACTAAACAGTGAAGCCAAGCTGAAGGCATTAAAGGACCTTTATTTATGTTTTGGTTTTTGTTATATTTTTGATACACTTGGCAAGGAGCAGCACTGAGCATCTTTGCTGTGCTCTTCACTGTATTCACAGGAAAGCTTGGTGCCATGCATCATCATCTGACTAGTTCAACTGTTATAATAAGTGCCTGTAATCTGACTAGTTCAACTGTTCTAGTAAGTGCCTATTTGATCAGCCAGTTTGACTCATTTGTTCAGTTGGAACAGCTTCTTCAGAGCCACAGTCTGACTCCTGGGCCATGACACTAGCAAATTATATGTGTCCAGTTTGTATCTATCATAAAAAGGGAGAAGGCTAAATGTCTTCAGCCTTTTTCTCAGTTCACTCTGATAATTTTTAACATTGATAAGTGATATATAAACTAAATTATTTAACAGTATTCATATTTTATCTGCCATACAGTATTCTGAAAAAATAATATTTGATTATGCCCATTCCAAATGAGACTGGTGGACAACACTTGTCTATGCTTAACAAGGGAAGCATATTTAAAAACACAAATTAAAAATGTTAATAATTTAGAAAATATCCCACAATATGTTAATAATTTAGAAAATATCCCACAATATCAGACTGAAATATTAAGTACTTATTTGAATGTACTGTATTTGGAACTTTCCATATTTGGCAATTGTTTATTCAGTCAGTAATATAAATCTTCCATTGTGAAGCACTTGTTTGGTTCATTTTAAGAATTTATAAATTCCATAAATTCACATGATCTGAGTAAAGTGATTGCTTGTGATGAATAAATACATTGTTTTGCTTGAAATAAACTCCTAGTATGTCTGTTGTATATAATTTTGAGTCACTGAAGTGTTGTAAACTGTTTTCTAATTCCTTGAAATCTAATGGAAACAAATGAGAGGCAAAGTAATCATACACAGACTTTTAAAATGTTTATAAGAAAGGAATAGTTTTATGAAGTTGGTATTTCTTTGTCTGTATGCCTTAATCACAACAATTACTACACAGGGACTAGAGAGAAATACCATCAAGGATAACTCTGTTACTATTTGAAATCCCTAGGCTACACTATTCTGAACTTCAGTCTAGCTAATAGGAGCAATAAAGTGGCTAGATTATAAACAATACATTTTCTGTAACAATTCCATATTTCAATAGTGGTTAACCTAATTTATGGATATAATAGCAATAGCACTTAGACTTATATACCATCTCACAATGCTTTACAGCCCCCTCTAAGCGGTTTTACTTGAGCCTGGTGGGATAATTTTATTCCATAAGACATTTACTAATTTTATTAAATATTGTCTGTTATTATTTTGTTATGCCATTTTTATATGTAAGTGACTGTAATAAGTGTTTTAGGAAGTAATTGCATTCACTAGGATTTGTAGTGTTATGCCTATTAGATGTTTGTAATCTTAGATACCCTTGGCAATCTTGGCTATTTCCTGCAGCTGGCTTTACCTTTCTAAAAGGTTCTGCTAAATGAATAAAAAATAGAAATTGACATATAATAATGAAAAATACCAGTCTTTACCATCATCTGTATTTTTAGGGTGCTTCTGGAGTTTTTGCTTTGTTGTGTGTATCAAATAGTGAAGTGTAGAAGCTGTTCCAACTGAACAAATGAAATGTCAGACTCAGCAGATGCCAAGCCAGGAGTCAAACTGCCTGATCAAATAGGCACTTACTAGAACAATTGAACTAGTCAGATTACAGGCACTTATTATAACAGATTATGATTATGATGTGTGGCACCAAGCTTTCCTGTGAAGAGCACAGCAAAGATGCTCAGTGCTGTTCCTTGCCAAGCAAGGAAGCAAGGAAGTAAATCTACAGCTGGCTGTAGTCTGCTTTAAGAGGCAGCCCCAATTCATGTTCCTGAATTGGATTTTATGATTTCCTGCTCTGGTGTGTTATTTCTGTGAATTGTGCTCATGAAACTCTGACTTTGGATTGGCTGAGTTAGCGCTCTGAATTTTGGCATGGATTTTAACTATTTTTCTGTGGGCTTCTGTTGACAGCAAAACCACCCAGGCAAGCTTTCTTTCCAAGAAACTTTACATTTCTTCCCTTGTCTATTATTTGCTCAGCCTTGATTAAATTGTTTTCTTCACCTAGCAACTGTGTGTGAGAGTGTGAGATCTGAAAAGAGACAGCTACAGTTTATGTGACTTATGGTTTTCATTAAGACCTTCCTATCCTTCAGCCATGATATTGTCATAATTGGCATCAATAGAAATATTTTTATACCTAAAACATCAAGTATCTTAAAGCTAGTGCATTTCATTAGATTTGTTTCTTTTTTTATCTGTAACTCGCACTTTTTTTTTCTTTTAAGACCTACACCCATCAATCTGTGGCCACTTTTAGCACTGTTTTGCTCATAATATACTAATTAGAGTAGGTGTTTCTAGCAGCAACATGTTCCTATAATTCAAAGATGGACCAATGCTATATTTCCTTTATATAAAATATAGGCAAGATGTAGCCTTTCAGATGTTACTAGACAACTATCTTCATCATTAATGCTGGGTGTGTTGGGTAGTATTGGTGTGATCTGTTTGTTTTTTTTAAAGTCATGGGACTACTGGAATTTGAAGAAAGATACAAATATGATAAAGTTGCAACACAAAAAAATCCAGACTACTTTATTGTAGCCCTTAGGCTTTGCTTGGACAATAAAGATTTAGGGATTATTTTAGGTCATTAGATTAAACTGATTTAACCAGCTCCTAACTATGCAAACAAGAAATTTCAGAATACTTTTTACTACATTCCTTTCCTGAAAGAATGTAAGTATATCATATGCAATTGTACATTCTATTCACAACAGATAATTTGTGGATAATATCATCCCTTGTGACATACTGAAAGTTAGGTGAATAAAACAATCCTTATCAAAATGTTAATTATTTTTCAGTTGATTTTTCAGTTCCATTTTATCTTTTTCAAATGTATGACAAATTGAGTTTTAAAATATACTCAATTTTACAACTATGTACTGGACTTGAAGAGGAAAAGGTGCTTCGGTGCATACAAGTCATAAATTTTGCCTTCACTGCTATTTCTTACACCCAAAATGACTTTTAGCTGAGACAGCTGCATGCTCCTTATACAAGATACAGAATAGTTCATTCATAACCTGGCCTGCTGCAATTTACATGCCTTCAACTCTTTAAAGCAATTGCACTTTTTGTAAATAGTGCAAAGCATACGTCTAGGTGTACAACCATTTCAAAGCAAATAATCTGTATGTAATACATTGACATGATTTATAAACATCAGATTTCAGAAGGACCAATGAAATTGCTCAGTGAAATACTTATCAAACTGATCAAAATTCTATATTTACCATTTGTTTATATTCACAGTATCACTTGTGCATAATAGAGCATTTAATACTAGCACTTTGATTTTCTGATCCACTCGTCCCTATTTTCATGTTGATATTTTCTTTCAAAATATTCATTTTTTTTTGCAGACCGCTTCTACACTTTATTTCCCATAAGCTACCATTTCTTTGAACTCAGTAGTGATCATGTCTAAAACAGGAACATCTCTCTTGTCAGTGGGAATGGTTTCAAATGTGTAGTTTCTGTTTTCCAGAGGGAGGGGAAGTCTGCAGAGGAGAGAGGATAACAAGGGAAATCTAGGTTCTTAATCATGGAAGCTCATTGAGTGATGTTGCTCAGCCCAGTTGAAAAAAAAATGTAGAAAATATCATGTTCTTTGGCAAATACATAGCCTAGAAATAAAATGCTATTTGAAAGGAAATCTCCTTAATAGTAGTGATAATTGTTGTTCTTACTTACTTACTTACATGATACATAGCCATGAATACTAAGCAATATAGTTTCGAAGTAATAACTTAAGTTACCAGTTTTAAAATGAAACTGCAAGGCTATCTCTCACACATCTACTGCTCTGTTGCCACTTGCAGCATTATGTTCATTCTGCAACCACTGATTATGGAACACGTATCAACTCTATGAATATGTCAACACATATTCCTTAATTATACATTATAAGCCAATAAAATATTGTACTATATAAATGCATGCTCACCAAGCAACAGCTTTGTTTGAAAAAAAATATTGAAAAAGTGCTGATGCAAATCAAAGGAATCCCAGTGAAAATCCTACAGAGGTCTGACAGTTTTATCTAGTTAATATTCACATAAAATGGGAAAAAACCATGAAAAACAAAATGAACAGGGGACTGAAGTAGCTTAGGAAAGAAATGACTTTGACTTCAATTTTGTTTCACCAATATTGGAATAAGGAGTTGTTCTAAAGTGTTTGTGGAAAAAAATGCTACATAAGTTACTTCAAGTAACCATGCTTCTTTATATCTGATTTACATACATCTTTCTCGGGACTGAACCCAAACTGAAACTTGACGTGATCAAGAGCCAATTCACGCAGTATATTCAGCCTTGCAATAAGAGCTCCTTTGGATCAACCCCAAATAGAAGCATCTGATGCCTTCTGTTACCTTCTGGAGAAGCTCTTATTACACTTTCCAATGAAAGCTGGAAGGGGAATTCAGACTAGCATAAATGAGATTTATTCAGTTAACACTTAAGTGCCAAGTGTTCTGGATGAGGCAAGATGAAATACTACCGTATGTATAGGCAAGAAAAGATGTACAAGAAACTTGCAGCTGGTTCTGATATTTTCTAAGCATGCTGAAACCACTGGTGTTTATTTATGACATAGCTACTGATTCCCTCCAGGATGAAAACATCAGAATTACTACACATTCATTTCTCATGGAAATCTCCAAACGTTACACATTTCAAATATCTCCTTATTTTAAATGGTATTTTTATAGTGTTAAACAGATCATAATTTTGTTGATCAATGAGATTTCTTTGACATCACAACACATAGACAGATGCAACCATAATTTCAAGTGGGAAACTGAGCATCCTTTCCAAGGTAAAATAATAAAGGTAAAATATAAATCCAGAAAACTAGAAAATCTCTGGAAACTTGACATTCAGACAAACCAGCCCTCAACAGACATAAACATACCACTCAAAAGAGGGAGGGGGAGCCAAAAAGAAAACAACACATCCTTTCCAGTAGTCAACATTCAGAAAAGTAGAGATTAGCACCAGAACAAGCAGAAAACAATACCCTAATCAAGGAACTACCAAGGAGAAAATCACATCCCTTCAAAACTGGCAAGGGAGGCTACTGTAAACAGAGTAAACAACAAAGCTCAGAGAGCATCAATGACACCACAGTTTACCGCTGAGCTACATATTTTCTATTGGAAATGTGTTTGTAAAACATCAGAGGCAAGTGATATGAGACAATAACTTTACTTATGATATACAAGGGACTTACAGGTTTACATTAAAATATATATATGGAAGTACATTTTTCTTCAACCCTGTAAAGAATGAAATGGTTATGTTTATTAAAAATAAATGAGATGGCTGATGACTGTTCAGCTGACAAAATGTAGAGCTAGTCTATTTGTGGGGAACTAAATGCTTAAAAAGAATTGACTTTATATGGCAACAGATCACCAGCTAACCATAATAACTAAAGCCAAATCACTATTGTCCCTCCCGCTCACTCATCCTCCTTCTAGTATCTTACTGTACCAGAAGTAATAAATAAACAAGCCTCAACAAGCAATAATTTTGGGGTTTGTTGGTGCTGTTGCAAGACCAAATGAAACCAGATGCTGCCAAGAAGATGCTTATATCTTTCAGACATTTCTTGATGCAGGATCCTCATATAAAAGCCTCAATGTGGAATAGCTTTTTAATCAACAAAGTGCTGATTAGGATCTAGAAGGCAAGTCTACAGTGTGGGCGCAACTAAACATCTTGATCTTGAGTGGAAAGTATCTAACAAACTTGCTGGCCAAAGGAAGAAAGATTTTTGGGGTTCTCCAAAATTATTTTTACCCCATCCCAGGCTTTCTAGTTTTAAAAATATGGTTGTGTCCATGTGTGCCTAACATTCAATCCATCTTCAAGCTGTCAAATTTTAAACAGATCTACATTGCATCACATTATCTTTGGAAGAACTGCATTCAAACATGATATATATATCTCGATCCTAGGCAATTAAATATTTTTTTAAAAATGTCCCCTCAATTCCAATGACTAAATGTATCTAAAGCAAGTGGGAGGAGGGAGGAGAGGTGGTGGTCACACTACCAGATGTGTATCTTCTTCCACCATGCAGGAACCAACCTGTATTCTCTAGTTTGTATCTTGTGGCATGTTGTAAAGATTCACAATCTAGTAGCCTTTCTGAAGGAAACCAAGACTGATTTTAATCATTCCCTGGACAGTGAGTTACTTGATACTAAGGGGAAACTTGTATGTGTATTCAAATAACTAAATTGTATATAGCCTTATTCTGTGAGCACTTAGTTTGGAATGTCCCATTTTGAAACTTTATGATTTACATGCAAACTCACAAATGTGTACACATGCAAAGTGGCATTGAAATGTGAAATAGTAAACCACTGACACATGAAATAGACAAAAATGTTACTCAAACTTTACCAAAATACATGATAGTAATGTACAATGTATCACAAGCAAACACTGCCTAAAATAATCAAGTATTGTAAATCAGAAGCCAATTCTACAGATACTGATAAAGCAAGTTCCAAATATCTCTCACTAATGCCAATCTGGTTGGGAAAACTGGGACTTATAGTTAAACATTATTTGGTAGGCCATAGTTTCCCCATCCCTGATGCACATAATTCATCAGCACAAAGGACACTTCAGAGTCTATGAACAGAGCTTTGTATCTTTATATTCACTCCCTAGCCAACATAGACATGACAGCCACAGAGATTAAGCAGAATCACTTTCAAACACATACAGGAAATAAGCAAAAAAAAAAATTAGAGTGAAGGCATTCACTCCTATCCTGGAAATCTTTCTTTGCACTTTAAATTATTCTAACCCACGTGTTCAGCAATGCGAACGTAAGCAACTGTTCTTGCACTACTGAGAGGACAAGCAAGCATAATTCTGCTCCTGATAAAACTCATAACCCCGCAACGTTTTACAGATGAAAAGGAGGACATTCCTACGGACTACTGCACCAAACATCTGCTTTCACCTCAGTGATCAGACCGGAGCTTTAAAACAGTCATGCACACGACTAGATTAGAGGATGTCCTCATTTAACGGGTAAGTTTGCGTCTGCGTGGTTTCTCTTGCTTCGTTTATTTCTACCTTTATTCCTTATGAAGTCTGCAGAATTAATTGCACGTGTTAACTTTGAGACGTGCTAACCCGATTGACACGAATCACGCCGCACGCTTTCCAATAAAATATATTCGGTAAAATGCATCAGAGACAAAGTAGGGGGGCAGCGTATGAAATATCGATTCGCCTGAGCGCCGCGCGTCCCTTCGGCGCCCGAAGGTTTAGGCAAGGGCAGTTCACACGAGCGCGTTAACACCCGTCCGGTCCCGGCAAGACATGACAGCAGGCGCGGAGATCCCACCTCACCTTGTCTGCAGTCACAGTAGCCCCAGTCAACCCTGCCGCGGTTGTTTCGGTAAAAGCACCAGGGCCTGCTCCTGCCGTCCGGGTTTCTGCAAAAGTTGCGCTGCCCGCGCAGCTCTTTGCCCTGAGGCGTCCGGTCCAGGAAGGTGGGCACCTCCAGCCAGGGCAAGCACCTCGCGCCGAACTCCGTCACGTTGACGAAGCGCCCGCCGTTTCTCGGGCAGCCGCCCCCGCCGGCGGGCTGCTGAGGGTGGCTCGGCGGGGAGCGCGGCGGCGGCGGCGCCGGGCCCGGGCCCCGAGAAGCGGCCGACAAATAAGACGGAGAAGCGAAGCGGCTGGTGGCGGAGCTGGCTGCTTTGAGAAGCGGCCCGACGAGCAGAAGCGCCGCGGCCAGAAAGAGACGGGCGAAAGTCATGCTGCCAAGCGCGCGCGGTTTGCTCCATCGCCTCTCAGCTGCGGAGCCCGGCCGGGAAGGCGGAGGGCGGAGCCGCACGCGGCGCCCGCCAAACCTTTCCCACCTCCCGCCGAGTGAACGCGCAGCTCCTCGCCCCCGCCTTCCTTCTCGCTCCCCCCTCCCCCGTTCGCAGACCCCTCGCCGCCGCCCGCTCTTTTGAGGCTTTGGCTCCGCTGGTGCCGAAAAAGAGGTCGCGCCTCGCTTTCAGCGCACGGGGCTGGCCGTCTTAAGGCGGCTGCGCTTGAGGGACGTAGGCAGCGCTTCCCTATCCCCCCCCCCCAACCCGGGGTTGCGCGGGGCAAGCTGATCTCCCCGTCAACTCGCGGGGAGCGAGGCGGCCCTTTTATTCAGGTTTTCCGGATTGTTTAGGATTAGGTTAAATGAACTGTGGGCGAGCCTATCCGGTGAGCACGGCTTACAGTTGTTGCCATTCTCCCCCGCTCTTTCGGTTCTCTTTCGCAGCCCAGTTGAGAAGGAGTTTTTCGCAGCCGCTTAGGACCGGTAGAAATTCAGCTGGCCCAGCTCCGTTTCTCTGTAACGGATCCTTTGCGTTCAGAAAACCACCACCCCCACATATTCGCCCGTGTTGGGGAAACTGGCCTCCTACCCTCTGTTAGCCCAGCCACCCTTTTTTTATTAAAAGCATACGCGGTTTGGCAATGCGATTGGGAGGGTTTGTCTATGGAGATTCATTCTCAGTCCTCCAAGCCATGGTTATCGCCAAGGTGCTTTTTTCAAAAGGGAGTAAAACTAGACTTTCTGGTTTTTCTTTGAAGGCGTTTCGCTTCTCATTTGCCCGACAAGCTGAGGGAGCGAAACGTCTTCAAAGAAAAACCAGAAAGTCCAGTTACTGCCTCTTGAAAACGCACTTTGGGGCGTTGGGAAGGTTACTTATGGAGCGTCCCTCAGGGAGGAAGCAAATGCATTGCACACGCTCAGTGACTAGGCGCCGTGAGCCCGGCCGCGGAGCAGGAATGAGGTCCTTCTGAGCAGGGGTCTCCAACCTTGGCAACTTTAAGCCTGAAGGACTTCAACTCCCAGAATGCTTTGCTGGCTGGGGCATTCTGGGAGTTGAAGTCCTCCAGGCTTAAAGTTGCCAAGGTTGGAGACCACTGCTTCTGAGGACTCTTCGGGCCCTCGCTGAAGCCCAGGATGACAGACAACAAACCCTGACGCCGCGCGAGCTTGGAATTGGAGCGCTTGGCGCGCCGCGAACCGGCAGAAGCGGCGCGCGTTTCAATTCCTCAGAAGCTGCATTTTTGTCCCATGACAGGATTTATTCTGTACTGCACAGAGAGCTTTTTAACGAGGGCTTACGGGAGGAATGCGCGCCAGTTTCCTTTTCGCCGCAACCGGCTTAAGGGCGGCTGACGGTTTTTGCGAACGGGCGCCCGAGTATCGCTTGTCCCAAAGGCGGTTTTTTTTTTTTCCAAAAGGCAACTGAAGGACTTTCTGGTTTTTCTTTGAAGGCGTTTCTCTTCTCATCCAAGAAGCTTCTTCGGCACTGGCTAGATTGTGAGGAGTGGAAGGATTTATATTCCTTGCAGGCAGCATTTTTTTAGAGAGTCGTTGAGGCCACTTGGGGAGGGTGTCTGTGTGCTCAGGGTCACCTGAGTAGTACAAATGGGTGTGGAGCAGTGGTGGGATTCTAAAAAAATTTTTTTTACTACCGGTTCTGTGGGCCTGGTTTGGTAGGTGTGGTGGCGTGGCTTGGTGGGCCTGGCAGGGGCAGGTTACTGCAAAATCCCATTCCCTCCCCACCCCACTAACCTGCTTTCCAGCTCCGTTCTCCTGTGCAGGGCAACCAAAGAAGACCCAGCCGATCAGCTGGGACTCGGGAGGCAGAGAATAGATGGGGGCAGGGCTAGTGTTCAATTTTGACATAGATGGTCTCTTTGACCCCTCTTTCAAACCAGTGGTCCTCTGTCCAAAATGTGGACTTTGCTTGTCTTCAAGAGTGGCCTTTTGAATGCAGATGGACTGCTGAATCTTGTCCTGATAGGTTTGTTCTCCTATGTTGTGCCGTGCGTTTATGAAGTTGTTTTGCTCATAGCTTACACTCCAACAAGGGAAGACTGAAGTTGCTGGCCGTTGATAAGAAACGAAGCTGAACCAGTATTTTTGAAAGAATTGGTTTGCTTTTGTCTTTCTGTGGCTGCATTTGAAGACCTTGATCCCCAAAACCAGTCAGTGAAGGATGTTGGAGGCACCTGTCTGGCGAATTGGGTTTAGTGTGTCCTGGGAACTCAAAACAAAGTTGATTCAATAAAATATGGGTACCGATGGGAAGTTTATCCATCCAGTCTCCAGGAAGACAACTTGACCTAAAAGGATTTAGGTGGCAAACCTACTGCAATTAATGGAATAGTGCCATCTTTCCTCCAGGGCTGAATCAGCAGAAAACAATTGGCCTGACATGTGCTGTCTGCACAGTGCTTTGATCCTGCTTCTGTTCACTCTGTTTCCGGTCACATGACTTTCCTCCAGGGTAATGGGCGACATACCTAATAGATTCATAAGCTGGGTATGTGAGAGGAAGGCTACATTGTGAGGACACAGCAGAAAGATGTTGTCTGGGCATGTTTGTACTGTGTGTAGATTGAAGTGGGAAAATTCCGGAGAGGTTTCATAGCTTTTGCTTTTATTTGTGGCTACTTTCACTGGACCAGTAATTAAAACCATTTTAAATATTCATATATAGGCTTTTTATTTATTTTTTCTCCATAGAGGCAGTCCTCATTTAACCTCTTTGGCAACTGATCAGTTATGACAGAGATTAAACATAACTTTACAACCAGTCCTCATAGTTATGACCTTCATAGGTCCATTAAGCACAGGGTAGCTAAAGTAAGATTATAAACACAATCATAATTTCACTTAGCAATCTTTTTGCTTAACAACCAAGTTGTTATCCCAATTGTGGTCACCTGTGCTTTCAAACATGTTTTCTAACTGGTAGAGTGGTTATTGCAACTGTGTTTGCCATACTCTTGACAGACATTGCAGCAGAAAATGCTGCCCCAATAAATGACGCCCTTGTTGTTTCTTCTGTGTCTTTCCTTACATGCTGCTGAAAACTTACTTGATCATATACTCCCTAATGCAGTACCAAGAGCTGGTGCCTTAGAAATCTCAGATCTTCCTTTTTTAACCCTGCAGGCACAGCAAATCACCATGATGTTAACTCGTTTATATTGTGAAGAATCTAGTTGACTTCTTAAGTACTTTTATATTTAATTCAGATTGTTTCACATACATATTTATGAATTACTATTAATATTTAAGTACCTTTTATTTTATTTTTATTTTATTTATTTTGTCAAGCAATTATAAGATAACAGGTATAAGTATAAACATAGTTATGGATACATGAAATGGATACATATAAGAAATATAAAAAAGAAACAATAGGACAGGGACGGTAGGCAAGTTGGTGCGCTTATGCACGCCCCCTACAGACCTCTTAGGAAAGGGGTGAGGTCAATAGTAGAAAGTCTAAGGTTAAAGTTTTTGGGGTTTGGGGAAGAAACCACAGAGTCAGGTAGAGTATTCCAGACATTGACCACTCTGTTGCTGAAGTCGTATTTCCTGCAATCAAGTTTGGTGCGGTTAACCTTGAGTTTGTATCTATTGTGTGCTCTTGTGTTGTTATGGTTGAAGCTGAAGTATTCATTGACTGGTAAGTCATTGCAATGTATGATTTTATATACTATATGTATATATGTATAATATATATGTATAATATATGTATGATTTTATATACTATACTTAGATCGGACCAAAGGCGGCATAGTTTTCACTGTATAAAATATTAATATAATGACCAGTGGCATCCAGGTCATACAGCAATCTTCCAAAGATTTATTTATGTGCTTGTTCACCTTTAAGTTACTGTTTACTTCTGATGACTGCCAGGACAAGTCTTTGCCGTTTTCTTGGCAATTTGTTTCAGAAGTGCCATTGTCTCCTTCCTAGGCTCAGAGAGACAGTGATTGGCTTAATGTCACTAAGCTGACTTCGTGCTTGACATAATTAGAACTCAGCCTCCCAGATTCAAGCCTGGTGCCTGAACAACTGTACCATATTTCCTGAATAAAACCATGATTGATTAGTTGATTTACCAATTTATTTTGAAGATCCTACCCAAAATCTCAAAAATTAATACTCCAAAATATTTAAAATGGATGACAATTCCAGATTTATACCTGGAGCAGATTTCTACCTGATATATAGACATGAAACTGTCTTAACAAAATCAGATGTGCCAAAAAAATGAAAGTGTATCCAGTATATCAGTTTTTGGACAACAATATGGTCAGTGCAGAAAGTTAGAAATAATTTTACAATTAAAAAACCTTGACACTGTAGGTATTCCAAAGATAAGAGTGGCTTCTAGGAATGTGTTTTTCTGTAGATGGAACCATCAGAATTTCTTTTCAGGATTTGTGATACTTCAAGTATTCAGGTATTGGCATGTCAAAGGTATATTTCCCTAGGTCAGTAGAGGCTGCAATAATTAAGGATTGAAGAACATATACCAGTATGCAACCTCCATTCCCTTACCTTCCTCTTTCTTCAAGGAGAAAAATCATACCCCACCAAAAATGGCAGGACAATTTACTATATGTATAGTAAATATTTACTATATAAATAGACAGCAAAGCCCACACTCACTCACCCTGACGTTATTTAATTATATACTGAAATCTACAAGCAAATAACCAAATTCACAGAGTACCAAGAACTGTATGCTTTCACCCACATGCTAACATTTATTTATGCAAAATTATAACTGATCTATAAAGCTAGTTATGAACCAAAAATACTACAGACAGGTTTGGACTAGAAGACCTTCAAGGTCCCTTCCAACTCTGTTATTCTGTTAAATAATTATGTTTATGTTAGTGTCTGGGTTAGATGGGAAGAAAGTTAGCATTGCCAAAAGCCACACAACATTTTAAATATTCTGAGAATTAAAAAACTGAAAAATGAACTATCA